AATGCCTTCAGTTGCTCCTCATAGGGCATATTCTCCGAGGCCTTCACAAGGCACTACATAGGTGAGGAACAAAAGCACAACACAATCCTGGATATTTAATGTCACTATTGAATAAACAAGGGCATCTTTCAAATTCTTGGCCTTTGAACTATTCATAAGAATATCAGAAGATCAGCCTGACATTTGTAACAAGAAGGTTGGTTTCAAAGGCCTGCAGGAATAAGCTGAGAGTCTCAGTTTGGGCTAGACCTCATAAATAAAAAGGGTAAAAGGGAAAGAAAAGCGTGGGTTATCATTTGAGGATAATTTAAGTAAAGTGTGATAGCAAAAATAATACTTTGCCATGTTTTTTTAACCAGGATGCCATGGTTCATTGTGTGGACCAGACAAGGTGGCTGAATGGGAATAAGCACACAGTGCTGGGCAGAGCATTGTCAGCGGGGAAAGGAAGTCAGGGAGCATGAGGCACTTGAACCAAGAACTGAATGACCCCAATCCCAAATATTGCCGGTATGCAAAGTGTACAGGAAATTAGGTCTGGTAGCAAGTTTGTTTGAACAAATCTATCGAGAAAAGGTGGCTTTCCAGATGGCATCCAGTGCTTGGTTTTCTTAACCTAGCAAACCAGAGGCTGGAAAGGTCTGAAACTGTTTTCTATAAATACAGCAGGGAGGAAGGAGGAAGCAAACAAGGGAGAGGAAAGGATTAATTTAACCTAAAGCACGGTGTTGACAGGAGAACAAATACGTACAGACTGTCCACAAATATATTTAGTCTGAAAATTAAAAGGCTGCTTGCCTCTAAAGTGATCAGGTTCTCTTCTAAAGAAAAAATAACATTTCTCTGAAGACAGACTTTCAAGCTGAACTCTTTCAAAATGTTTTAAAAGATCGCTGTGATAGCAGAGGAGTTGGCTAGTAAGCTCAAAGGTCTCTTTTTTCTAAAAGGAACTGTCTAGATCTAAAATAGTTCTAAGAAGATGGGTTTGGGAAAATATTTATTTTGCATCTTTAACTAGAAATCACTCAGCAGGCAATTATGCCAGACTTCATTAGTCCCTCTGTTGATTTCAGTGAGCTTCTGATCAAGCCCTGTTTGTGGAGCTCTGAGTCACCGAACAGTCCACCAGGACCCTGAAAGCAAACTGTGGGAAGAGCCCTGCGAAGCAGACATAAAAACTGACAACTTTGCTTCTTCCCCAAGACCATACTGGGACAGGATGGAAACAGGATCAGAGGTCTGCAGCGAAGCAGCAGAGTGATGCACAACAGAGTGATGCACCAAGGTGCACAGAACGAAAGCAGAGAGCTACACATAACATATCCAAATCTTTGAAGCTGCAAAGGACTTTGAAAGTAATTCACAAAAGGTACATTTGCCATGTGGCAGTGGACAGAAGACAAAGAGCCAAATTTTCCTTGCCTTTCCAGTGGAACTAAAACTGTTCCACAAGGCATCAGTTTAAGAGAGGGACACAGCTGGACTTCTGAAACAAGCACTAATTTGACCACTAGCAGCTGTTACTGGCTTTTGGAGGAAAATAGTCCAATGACTTTGCTCTCTGTTCCTCGCCAGCCATTTTCACCATCTAATTTCCTGGAACATTTAATTGTGACAGAACATTTCATGTGGCTCATTGTGCATTGAGATATTCTAGCACATTTTTCAAGACACAGCACTATGCATTTCAAATAAATGACATAAACTACTTTTTTGGACTCTTTTTTGCTATGGTAGATGATTGGCGTACACTTCTTCCAAGCATTTACACTTACTTTTAAAGGACAAGACATGGTAGCATGTGGTTTGTATCTTCAGTCATGGACAGATATCCATTCCTTTGTAGAAAATTAGAAATACCTTTTCTTCACATAAAGGATTTCCCTTGACCCTAAGCATCACCACCATAGTGCCAGCATGAGCTCCAGTTGAGCAGGAGCTGCAGTTGGTACTGAAGGAGTTTATCCTGCCACACAAGCTGCCACTCTCCCTCCGTATGCCAGCAGCCTGTTCTCAGAGAGCTATGCCTCTTGCTGAAAACAGCTGGAAGTGAGACAAATCTTCACCTGGAAAATCTGCACCAAGAAACCTCCCAGAAACAGAGCTACTCTGAGGATCTTGCTAGAAGGAAGCAACATGCAGAGCAGACAATAGGAAAAAGAACAATTCCCTGCCTAGTATTTTTTCTTTTGGTCCACAGACTCTTCCCCATCCACACTGAGTTTTACTTAGAAATACTGCGCAGAAGATTTCTGTCATTTCATGCAACATAGAATCATAGAATGTTTCTATGCTCAGAAAATGGTACAGAATAAGTGGTTTTCCATAAAGCCAGGACAAAATTACAACTTGCAAACTATAATAATGAAGATCTTGGCCATGGCTCAGTACCCCATTACATTATGTGATGCACAAGGAGAGCAAAACCACTCAGCAATGCAGGCTGAGATGCACAAGCAAGGGTGCACTGGGAGGAAAAGAAGGATGCATGTGCATGTCCTACCCAGAGGGTCTCATGCTCTGGGGACTAGGCCACAGCTGAGGTATAGGACAGGGATAGGACAGGGATGTCCTTTTTTTTTTTTGGGGGGGGGAGAGGGAGAAATAAAAATGCTTTTCTTTTAATCACAGAATCACCAAGGTTGGAAAAGACCCACAAGATCATCCAGTCCAACCATCCACCTATCACCAATAGTACTCACTAGACCATGTCCCTCAACACAAAATCCAAACATTCCTTAAACACCTCCAGGATCAGTGACTCCACCACCTCCCTGGTCAGCCCATTGCAGTGCCTGACCACTCTTTCAGAAAAGTAGTATTTCCTAATATCCAGCCTAAATCTCCCCTGGCACAGCTTGAAGCCATTCCCTCTAGTTCTATCACCAGTTACACGAGAGAAGAGGCCGACCCCCAGCTCACTACAACCTCCCTTCAGGTAGTTATAGAGAGCAGTAAGATCTCCCCTGAGCCTCCTCTTCTCCAGACTGAACAATCCCAGCTCCTTCAGCCGCTCCTCATAAGACCTGTGCTCCAGATCCCTCACCAGGTTTGTTGCCCTTCTTTGAACCCATTCCAGGGCCTCAATGTCTTCCTTGCAGTGAGGGGCCCAAAACTGGACACAGTCCTCGAGGTGCGGCCTCACCAGAGCTGAGTATAAGGGAACAATCACTTCCCTTTTCCTGCTGGCAACACTGTTCCTGATGCAAGCCAGGATGCCATTGGCCTTCTTGGCCACCTGGGCACACTGCTGGCTCATTTCAGTTGAGCATCAATCAATACCCCCAGGTCCATTTCCTCTACACAGTCTTCCATCCACCTGTAGCATTGCCTGGGGTTGTTGTGGCCAAAGTGCAGGACCCGGCATTTGGCCTTGTTGAAACTCATCCACTGGCTTCAGCCCAGCCCTCCAGCCTGTCCAGATCCCTCTGTAGAGCCTCGCTACCCCCAGGCAGATCAACACTTCCTGCCAACTTGGTGTCATTCGCAAACTTACTGAGGGTACACTCAATGCTCTCATCCAGGTCATCAATAAAGACATTGAAGAGGACAGACCCCAGCACTAACCCCTGGGGAACACCACTCGTGACAGGTTGCCAGTTGGATTTAGCTCCATTCACTACCACTCTCTGGGCCTGGCCTTCCAGCCAGTTCTTTATCCAGCCAAGAGAGTACCTGTCCAAGCCATGGGCTGCCAGCTTCTGCAGGAGAATACTGTGGGAGACAGTGTCAAAGGCTTTGCTGAAGTCTGGGTAGACTACATCAACAACCTCTCCCTCGTCTACCAGACAGGTCACTAGATCACAGAAGGAGATCAGGTTGGTCAAGCAGGACTTGCCCTTAGTGAACCCATGCTGGCTAGGCCTGATCCCCTGTTTGTCCCACACATGCTGTGTGATCTCCCTCAAGAGAATCCTCTCCATAACCTTCCCTGGCACTGAGGTCAGGCTAACAGGCCTGTAGTTCCCTGGATCCTCCTTACAACCCTTCTTATAAATGGGAGTCACATCGGCAAACCTCCAGGCTTTTGGGACCTCACCAGTTAACAAGGAGCGCTGATAGATAATGGCAAGCAGCTCTGCTATCACCTCTGACAGTTCCCTCAGCACTCTCAGGTGAATCCCATCCGGCCCTATGGACTTTTGACAGTCCAGTCCCTGAGTGACACTGCCTGCCACTAAAGGAATATGCAGCAGGACCTTTGACAGCCAGAAATGAAGTTCCTGGCTTAGTCTGCTGCTCTCCCCATCCCACACCAAAGGAAGTTGCTCTCAATTCAGATTCAATTTGCCTTTATTGCCAAGAAGTTTCACCTAATCGAAAGCACAGCAGCCCAATGGGTTGCCCAGAGAAGCTGTGGATGCTCCATCCCTGGAGGTGCTCAAGGCCAAGATGGATGGGCCATGTGCACTAAGCTGGTGGGTGGCAATCCTGCCCATAGCAGGGGGTTGGAACTGGATGATCTTCACGATCCCTTCCAACTTAAACCATATCAAGATTCTATAATTCTAAGAAGCTGAAGGCAGTTTTCCTCTTCCCTGTCCAACCTCCCCCCATTAATACAACAGCAGAGCTAGCACACAGTAAATTATGTAAAACGATGCCTCATCTCTCATTTGGGCATTGCACAGCAGTCTGAATCGCAAAGGGTGTCCAAAAGCTTATATACAAGAGCTCATTTTCTGACTGTTTGCAAGCTAACATGTAGGCTTGTGAGTTCAGGTCATTTTCAAAGAATGTCACTCCTTTTGGGGGGGAAGTCTCATCCTTTTTCCTGTCCCTTCCACATAACTGCTGAGTTTGGCATGCAAAAATTGGCTTAGATGAGGACACAGAAATGCCAGCCAGGCTTTTCCAGAGAGTGCCATACACACCGTGAATGGTATTTCAGACTCACACGTGAGGAAATCTCTGCTTGGCATAGCCTGCCCAAAGAGCTTAGTGCTATCCAGTGCTATCGTGTCTGTGATTGCTGCTAATGCTGACAGCTGAACAGGAAAATCTGAGAATCTGCATTGGTACTGTTGACAAAGTATACTTTTACAGAAATATTTGGTTTTCATTTGTGAAGCAGGTGATGTCATAATCCACAAAGGTTTTTATGATCATCTGGCATACCTAACTTAGGTAGCATTTCAAGTGTGGAGTTGTGCACTCTGCCTGAGATCTGATAGCACTCCCTAATTCTGTGAATGACTTGGATGAATCTGACGGGATATTTAAAAAATTTGCAGGCATCAGTATTATTAAGGTAGATAGGTTCAGAGCTCAAAAAGCCTAAGAAAAGAAGAAGAAGAGGAATGAACCAAACTTTGCAGGATTTAACTTGATAAATAAACACGCAAAATACTGAATTACCAAAGGATGGGCCAAAGGCTCAAACACAAACAAGGAATGAGAAGGCTAGCAGCAGTGCAGCAGAACAGGACCTGGAGTTATAGTGGATCAGAAAACAAATATACATCAATAATATGAGGCTCTATGAGAGACAGGAGGCAATTACTCTGTTCTGGTCTGCTCTGGGGAAGCCCAGACTGGAGAGATGCGCAGCAGCCAGCATGTGAAAGAGTTTCCAAGTATGACCTATAGGCAGAGGCTGAACAACTGTGGTTTGCTTTGTCTAGCAAGGGGGAAGCTTAAAGGGTAAATAATAGGAGCTTTCCTTTCTGAAGAAAGGGCAATAATCAGTTATTCCTCAGGTAAAGTGGAGGTAAGATAAAGTGAAATCATCTTTGTAACAAGAGGAAGGTGGGTTGGTTATTAGCAAACTTGTATGGTCTTCTTGATATGAAAAGGAGATTTCAGACAAACTGGGAGTGCTTAATCCCATGTCAGGATGAACTGTGCTCACAGGCAGTTGCACCACTTGGCTTGTGCCCATCTTGATTTGCGTTGGAGCCTGCACTGAGCACAGCAGCCAGAGCTAGTGCCAGGCAGCCAAGGGCAGCCAGGAAGTAGGAGAGACAATGCTGGCTGCTCTGTCCTGCTAAAAGCCCAGGGGAACAGCTGTCCCTGTCCTGTGCTGCCTGCTCCCCTGCCACAGTAGAAGACAACAAAGCTTTGGAACCAAACAAAGTGCTCAGGTCCTGCCAAGTAAACATTTCCAGCACAGCAGCCTTGGTTTCCATGAGCTGTTGGCATAAGAAAGGTTTGGGCATGTGAGAAGGGATAAGGAAGTAGGTCCTTAAACACTTCATTTGGAATGACCTGGGAATGTTCTTCCTTGCTTTGAGCATCCCAGCACTTAATCATCCCAAGTAGCTGCACTGAGAGGACTTTTTGAGTCCTGATAATTGGGTCTTTCACATATAAATCCAAAACACTGGCCTTTTGGTTTTAAATAGTTCTCATCCTGCAGCCTGGGTTTTATGGTGCTCTGTCTTGTGACTGTGGAAGTTGTGTCATTATCCACCCACAGCAGAAGAACACCTTCATGGGCCTGCACCTCGCTTTTGTTTCACTTCCCTTCCTGACACTTTGCTACCACTGCTGCTCTGGGGAACAGCTCCTGGACAGGGTGAGTCACCTCGCAGGGCTGCTGAAATGGAAATGAGCGTTCGTATTTTCCCCAGCACCTTCCTAAAGTAATATGCGGCCCTGGGTGCAGCCCTGGAGCATTACAATCAGCAGAGATCATAGAATCACAGAATGCCTTGGGTTGGAAGGAGATCTCAAAGATCATCCAGTTCCAACCCCAGCCATGGGCTGG